TAAAGCAGCAGAAGAAGAAAACACACTTACAGTTCAGTGCAGCAGCAGGTCTGATGGTCCCTGTGGAAACACACACACACACACACACACACACACACACACACACACTGAGCAGCAACATTGAAAGGCTTTGTCAAAAAGCTGGGGAAAGGACACAAACCAGATGTAATGAATGAAGGTCTGCTATTTGCCTTGAGAGCCTGACAATCGCTCACCTCGCTGACAAACTTGTTGATCTTTCGTGCGTTCTTCAGAGCCAAATTATCTTCGGACGTCAGGCTGTGGAAGTGCGAGGTGCCCTTCATCTTGTCCAAGTCCTTCTTGTATTTTAGCTGCAAAGGGATGAAGGATGATTGAGTGCATATAGGAGGAGATTGTGTAATGCTTCTGTAGGACCAGGAGATTAGCGATGCACACACATGCACACATGCAAATTTAGTCTGTGAGGAGAGTTTGAAGAATGACAACATGCGGAGGGTTTGTCATTGTGTTCCCTCATCAATTCTGCCCATGGTGACAAGGCCATGTGATGAATGAAGCTGAAGCCCTTACACTCTACACTCTGTTATGTTTTGACAGGAGTTTTGAAGCATTTGACACGGTTACACAATAGACACACGGGCTCCTTTTCTAAGACAGGCCAACCTTCAAACTACTTTAGACTCAAGAGTAAATTCTCAAGAAGAGCTCCCTCTATATATATACACCAATACACCAATATGGAATTTACAGTGGTTACAAGAACGGCACTAAGTTTGTTTATTCTGGAAATGAATGTTGCTGACTGTCAGGTTGATACTCACATTGCTGGCATTTTCTTGAGCCTTCTTTGCAAGGTGATACCCAGGAGTGATCATGGCGGGGAAACTTCCTTTCCCTCGCTGCTGCTCATACTGCTCAGTATAGGCAATCTGCAAACAGAGAATAAAGGATTTGTAATTTGAAACATTTCGGAGTTATACAAATAAGTCACAAAGCACTGTACAGTATTTCATACAGGTTTTTGATGGGTTGAAAATAAATCACACGGGTTAAGGTGTCAATAATGTTGACAAATCATTGTGGGCCTGAATACCAAACTATGAAAACCTTAACAATAAAAACATGTGTCAAGGTGGCTTGGAGCTCTAAAATACACATCCTGCTTCCTCTCATTTTGATTTATCTACTGACATCTGTTTCTCTCCCTACAGTATATTTTATGTTATTTACAGTCATCTACTAATTTAAAACAAAAAGGGCAAATAAAGAACTTTAAACATTTGTTCTTAAAATATACTTTACATTACATTAAATGAATAAAACAGTTATTTCCTTACCTGGCTGAAATTCCCTGCATTTTCCCTGGCGTGGACTGCTTCAGCCATGGCCACCTCAGAGCTGGCTTTACCCTTCATCTCCTGTTCATACGCCTGACGGTATTTGATCTGGTAGGACATGAAATCCATTAGTAACACATGATCAGGGGTCTGCCACAGTGGTTGCGTACAAGTGTATACATTTATATTGGCTACTTACATCACTGGCCTGCTCACTGGCCTTCTTTGAAATCAAGTATCCAGGTGTAAGATGTGCAGGAAAGCTACCTTTACCTCTCTTCTGCTCATACTCTTCTGTGTAGGCATACTGAAGGAAGAAAAGCAATGATCAGTCACACAACTATCTGAATTTTAACAGTAAAAAACGTTGTGATACTGAACTGGTCTTTACAGTGAAACACTATAGGGTAGTGTATCATTATGTCTAATACGAGGCTTGAAGCTTACATCGCTAACAATTTGTCCTTGTGTTTTGGCCAGTAACACCTCTGGGGGGTCAACAAAAGTGGTGTACTTTGAAACTCTCTCCTCGTGTCCTTTTTTATATTCCAGCTGCAAAACAAGAAAACAAAGACATTGATTTGGCTCATTATAAAGTCAAAGTAACCACTGACAGACACTGAGAACAAACCAAAAAACATCATTATTAGCAAAGAAGTTCACTTACGCTACTGGCCAGAGTATTGGCTGTCTTAGCAGCCTGGTAACCAGGTGTTATCATGGCAGGGAAGCTGCCTTTCCCTTTGGACTCCTCATATTCCTCTGTGTACTTCACCTGCCAAATAAGCATACAAATCAATCATGGCACTTGACTTATATTGATTCAAACTTGAGTTTAATTGTATTAGACTTTTACGCAATCCCATTTATTCAATGAAAGACACACAACATATTTAAGTTGAATTATATAAGCGGGGATAAAAGGTATACTCACATCACTACTGGACTGTTGGGCCTGAGACATTGTTACTATCTCCTGGTTGGTCACCTGGCCTGAGTACCACATCTGCTGCTGGGAGAACTCAGACTCAGACTGGAAGGCCTGCTTAGAAAACGAGGACAGACCTGATTATTTCCAGCAATTCATAAGACAAATAGTAATTTACCTTTAATGGCTATTTTAAAAATCAGGCATCAAATGTTGTCTACTTTGTTGATGCCTAACTTAGTCTCTGTGAGGTGAAAAAGTTGCAATTTACTTAAATGCATATAAATCAAATCCTAAACCAAATAGCAGTGAAGATAATGTTTTAACAGCATCAGCCAATACAAATGAGCTACATGAATTCTATAATCATACAGTTTCCAACATTTCCATTTTCTTACATCTTAATATTGATTATTTGAAATAAGATATTGGATTGCTGCACACAATAACTTTGCTGTTTGCAAAAAAAAGTAAACTGTGCAAGGAACAAAAGATAGGTGGGTTTGTTTGCTTTATACTAAACAAAATCCTATTTCAATGATCATAATTTAGGCTGGAGTGGAGCTTCTTTTTGTTATGGCCGCTTTATCTACAGGGAGCTCACCTGGCTTGTCATCTGACTGGCTAGGCGAGCCTTCTCCAGCTCCATGGACTTCATGTCTTGGTGGAAGGTGGACATAAAGCGCTCACCATCTTCACGATACTTCAGCTACAAGTGCACAAAAATGACAAGCATTCAGCCATGGACCATCCGGCATTTTCACATGCACACATAAGAGATATTTTTACAGTAACCACTTAGGTAGCTGTATCAAATCAGCGAAAAAACTGACAGATATTAAAATTGCTTCAGATCCACAGATCCCTATATTCTTATGTTGTCAACTTTCATACCAGACAGCCTGACCCACATGCTTTATGATGAAGGGATAATATTAGTGTGCTGTTATTAATAAGTGAGATGTTCCAATCAAGAAGTTGGACCAGAGAAGATCCAGAGGGGAGTGATGCAATTCTGAGCTGTTTGCTAATGATCCTTTAGGCTGTAAAAATGTTCAAAACTAATAATAGAATAGCTTTATTGCAGGGGATACTTCTGTGGATCATCTTTTAAAGGCTCACAATGAACTTTCAATCTGAACTCAATGTTATGTTTGACATGAGCAAAATGTTACTCAATGAAAACAGGTAACTTATTCAAAAAAATAAGTTCTGCATGTTAACCAAACGTTTTTTTTTATGAGTGGACAAGGTTGAGGGTCACTCAGCAGGGTCTCAAGTCAGCCCCCAGATCAGGTATCAACAAGTTAAGTCCTTTATCTCTCTAATAGAATAAAGCAGTAGCTGATGAGCGTGCTAGCCAACTGCTAATATAAGCACAGGAGCTTTGCATGAACTCCTAGACACAGGCAAGCACACAGACAGCAACAGGTGGCAGGGCAGAGGAGAGGAAGGGATGTGTGGCTGTTTTTCTAATGAATAATTTTAGACCCCTGAAGCATAAGAAGGGCTAAGCAGAGAGGGGGTTGTCTCGCCTCTGTCACAGGAACAGAAATAACCGGAGCCGCGCTCTCCATTCCACAACGCTGCTGTCACCCGGGACTCTGAGCTGTCCACCTCTCTGTCTTTCACCCGTAAAGAGGGAATGACAACGTTTTGATCTAAAAGTAATGAATCTGCTTTAGGTCAGATCTTTAGACTTCTGATAGTTTGCAGAATAATGGATCTGGGTCATCTGTGAGGTTATCAGTTGTTTTGTGTGATGAATTGAAAAGCAGAATTGTTTATTTCCAACTTTAATGGGGAATTTTAAAACAATGTCCCCACGTAGGTATATATAGATTAAGTTGTAATGCTTGCATTTACACCAAGACAATGACCACTATGAATAGCCATCTCATGACAAACAAATGATAAATAGCATTTCACTCATGTCGAAGACAGTGACTCATGTCAGCCTGTCAACAATGCACCTTGACTCAAATCAAGGCCAAAACATTTTGTCTCAGGTTGCTGCTTGTTTGTTTGTTTGCATGTGACATCATCTTACCTCGCTGCTCGCCTTGCTTTGCTTCTTTGCATTGATGTTGACAGGGGTCTCATAGACGCTTGTGAACGTGTTGTTCCTGGGATTGTGTCTGCAGGGATGAGGTATGACAACATTGTCATTATTTAAATGACTACATTTAAACAAATGGACAACATGTTCACACCAAAATTGGGCTTAAAACACACTTTTTTAAATAATATTTTGGGATAATTTTCAAATATAAAGTTATATACATATCTATATAAGTGTTGCTGGTATTTAGTACTTACACAGAGCAGTATGGCCTCTTCTTGTGGCTGACAAAGTTTTTGGCAGTGAGCACCATCTTACAGACGTCACAGTGAAAACACGCTTTATGCCAGTTCTGACAGAGGAAAAAACAGATTATTTTAGATTTTTCTTAAAACTTTTATTATAATTTATTAATTCAGACATTAGTCTTTATTATGTGGACACAGAAAACGTTTAAACCTTGGACAAATCCTTTTTGATAAGACAATATTAATAAGATATGAGCATGGTCTTTAAACTGGACTCGCTGACTTGTTCTTAAATAGCTTTCATGTGATTGTAAAACTGTACACCTTTTGCTTTATCTTTTGAGTTTTAAAAGATTACAATTCATAGCATGAACCATTCATAGATGTTTTTCATGCTGCTATTATTGCAGTCTTTGTAGTGATCAGAATTCACTGGCACTCATATCAACACACGCTTGGATCCAGACCAAATGTTGAAGACATATTTTGATTTTAAACTGTAATTTATGAGCAGATGATTATTCCATTATATCAGCTGTTAGGCCCACTGAGCTATATGTTGTAGTTGGAGTGAAAAATTCCCTGAAATAACTTGTTCATGAAATAAATGTAAGCCGTAAGAAGCTGATTTAAAATATAATCGATACAAAAATAAGTCCAGTGACTTAAGTTTGCACTTTATATCAATGTCAATAACGACGTACACATTTAAGTATTTCCAAATAGATTTAAAAACACTAGAAACACTTTGCGTGTGTTACCTGGTCAATGCAGTTGATCTTCTCGGCTGGGTAGACCACAAACCCACACCTGGCACAGGACTGCATGGTGAAAGATTGTCCTTTTCCCAAAAAGCCTTCAGGAAAATATCAGAAAAAGCAAACTAATGAGAAATGTTGTCAACTCTTTAGTGGAGAAACTGGCAGTGACTCCCGGTCAGTCGTGGTAGTGTGTCTCCGGTGGTGGTAAACTTAGCTCTGGACTGTGAAACTTTGAAAGTGTCCCTTACTTGACACCATGTCCCACAGTGGTCCAACCCCCTTCCATGTGCCATGCTAGGAGACTGGCTGAGTCCAGCTGTCTTTTTGCGGGAAGAGAGAGAGGGACAGTAAGGTCGGATGTCACTGCATATGTGTAATGATCCTGAGTTGGAAAGCTGGTTCAACTTTGGGCATCTGGCATGACACAAAGACATAAAAACGCAATACCTTTTGTACTCATTTGACTTGAATTTGTTTAACTGTATGATGACACTCAAAAAAGGGCAGGTACAAAGTATCATGTGAAGATCTTACAAGAAGGCAATGTAGACAACTAAATAGATAACAAAGTTAAGTTATAATAAACATACACATAATCAACATTTAAATGTTTTTTATCAACCTAAGGAATAATGGTGTCTGCAGTGATGTGCACAAATCAGTGTGCCATTACTTCTTGACTTATTTTTTAACCTACCAAGATTTAAATACCCGTTATTTCCGCCCAGCTGAATGTGACATGTGTGAACTTGAATTTAAAACAACCTAAAATATCAGTTTGTGAGTGTGACAGTGTTTAATCCTAGAACTAAATACGTGGATGCATTATTCGGCAAAACTACATTTGAGTGTTTTAGTGTCTCTGAGTGCTATAATAGCCATACAATAGTGTAGGGTTATCTATGATAAATATAGATTAACTGTGTGCTGTGCTGTTAAAGGTACAATTTGACATAGGGAACACTTTGTATATTCTGCTTTTAACAGTTGTTTATCAAACATACTATTTTAAAAATGCTGTGTTTCTTTCTCCCTTCTTTGTATGATTCAATGAAATAACTTAACGTTTTAATTTCTGTGTTATGTTGTTTATAACTTAAAATGAAATGTGGGAGACCTGACTTAGGGCTGTGACGTAGTTACGCACTCAAGACACTTCACGCTGAACGTACTTTCGCTTTCTAAAGTTTCTGGAGAGGAACAGAAACCAGGCGAAAACTTTGAAGAAGAGAGAGAGAACTTTGGTGCAAAGCTAAACTGACATAGTATATAACCCAAACAAGAGGGTAAGTCCATTACAACGTGTTCATTCAGTAAAAACAGTTTTCGCTAACGAGTTGTTTGCGCTAAGCTAACGTAAATCAGAGATAAAGCTAACAAGTTGTAAGTTGACGTATTTACCTAGTGGAATAGTGTACAGTAAGTAAATAACTCAATCCATATCGTTGCAATGTGTGTTCAAACTGCAGATGGCAGCTGGAGAACCTGCTGTGGAAACTGCACTTGAAGCTGAAGATGAGGAAAGGAAACTTTCCGGAGACGAAACAGACGCCAGACCTGACCGCAGAGGAAGATTTCTGCTGTTTGGAAGGTGACTTCCTTTTCATCATTTACTGAAGCTTTATGTGAGGATGGTCACATATACAGGACTGAGATGATAGTTTGTTCCATAAGCGGTTGACTTCACTTTAACAGAAACTATATGTTGACTGTAGTTTTCAGTGTCATTATTATCCCCTCTGCTCTTTGTGTATCGACATTTTTTACACACTGAAGTTAGAGCAAAACAAGTTAAGGGTTAATTTAATTTGTGGCCTGATATAAGTCTATGCTGGTCGATATTTTCAAAGGGATTCTTTCCTTTAGTTATGTTTTGTGTGACATAAAGAAGGCCTTGCTCGTCATGACAGTGTTTGACTGATGCAATCCTGTTACCCTTGGTACTCTACTGTGTTCCTGCTTAAGCCTTTTCTTTCACTTTTAATTGCTTCCCTTAATAGCAGCCTTTATGTAGTTTGTGGTTTGTCCTTTTGACCCCACAAGAAGGAAGTGTGTTTTATTTCACCAGCAAACTTACATATATTCTCTTAAATAGCGGTTTTGAAACTATTGACGTAGTGCTACACAGCTTCTAAAATAAACAAAATGTCATATATAATAAACATAATTTAATGACATCTTTTATGTAATTACCCAAATATCTACACTGATAAAATATTTCATTTTAAAAGTGGTAATTATTTTTTTCAAACGAGGGGGCCACTTATTTTCTCATAATACTTAACTTATCAGCCCTTGAAAATGAATCACCCTAGATTTGACAGAGCAACCCAGTTTTGAATAGCCTGTTTAGTTAATTGGAGCAAGAAGTAAAAGCTTTTTAAAGTCAAATGTGGGACTGATGTCAGTTCTTAAGTGGCTGCTTAAAATTAGATTGTACTACAGCAGAGTTAAAAAAGGTTGGATGTGTTCATTATTTGGTGTGTCATAGAGTGTGGGTCCTTTTTACAATGTCTTGTGTCTGACTTTGTATTTTAAAACAGTGACTCAGCTAACCTGAGAAAAAAGTTGCCTCGGTTTGTTCCAGTTTGCCTCACAAGGTGGCACTGTGAACCTTCTTAGTAGAGAAACATTTGTCAACTGTTTCTTCCAAACACCATTTTCACCCCTAAACTATATTTTGAAGCATAAAACAACATAAAAAGGCCCCAAACATTTAATATTTTAAACAGGTAAAGTGCCTTTAAAAAAAATAAGCTACATTCTTTTTTTTTAAAGAAAAAGCTCAGCATGTTAAGAAATTATGTATGCCTAATCTGTTTAAGGTTTTTTTGTAATGACCTGATAGCATACATTATCACCATATATAGAAACATTACATAAGACTTACCACCTTATCTTCAGGTCCAGTGCGTGTGTCATCTTCATTGGAAGAAGGTGTGACCAAGCATCAGATTAGCTTGTGTGGCTCCTAAATCAAGCCATCCCATGTGATCTGAAAAGGAAATCCGTATGATATTATAGATTGTAATGATAATTGTCAGTATTTTTGAACTGGTTGGATTTTGGCTAAATCTTGCTTTTAACCAAGACTGAAGTGATTGATGCCAAAGATTTCGCTACCCAGAAGTAGTATGTGTAAGTGTTCAGCAAAGCAGCTTTTGTTTTAAATTATGAAATGTTTTCTGGGTTGTACTTCTTACACATCCAGTTCTTAAGGTGAGGCAATTAGTCTCTCACGGACTGTATATCAGTACAGGTGGATTGTGTGCCTGTCAGCAGAGGAGCAACTTGTTGCCCTGTCTGACCTCAGCAGGGAGCAAGTGGAGGGGCCATGTGTGAATAGGCCTTTTAGAAAGCACTGGTGTGGTGGCGAGGCTGCTGACTCAGGGGGCTCACAGTGCGCCGCCCCTGTCCTCAGCACCCGCTGGCCCAGTCAGGTGTCCATCCAGCACAGAGAGCATGCCAGTATCCTAGCACACAGCCTAAAATTAAGCTGCCAGGTCTGGACTACCGTACTCTTTTGGGGGGAAAAGGAAGAAACGAGAAAAAACCAACACATTTCAGATGCAGAGTGGCGTGGTGCTTAATGACGAACCCAGGTAAGACGGACAAAACTGCCCGATATTCTCCTCAGCGTCCTGCTGCCATGTCCAGCCCACAGCAAAACAGAGATGCAGCTCTATGCCCACCCTCGCACAATTGTTTGGTACAATATGTTGGCACAATTTGCAGGTGGGAGGGGGGCTAGAAAAAAAGTTCTGGATCACATGTTTATTAGAATATGGCTGAGCTGCCTGTCACTGTACATGCAAGAGACCGTAAGGGAGCCCTGCTGTGTATTGTTCCTGTGCTTGAGTGATTGATGACTCGGCTCTTCTGGAACAAGCCTGGATTTTCTGAGCGGCCAATGGGCTTCTGTTGGCTTTGCTATCTGGATGCGTCTCTTAGAGAATGGAAATATGACAGGTCTGTGGGAATAACCTCTCATGGAAGATTAACTTCTCGCTCCATCTACATTGACATGGTTATGATTTTTTGTTAGCGTAAAGCAAATATGTTTCCTCTCTGACCGGATGGTGGATTACTGCAAATTTGGATGTGACATTTATTTTCAAAGTTATTTGAAAATGTATGTGCTCTTCTGAGTAAGTGGATCCGAGTGAGTCAGTTTCATGTGAGTTTTCTTTGCATTAGGAGTCTTGGCATTTACTTGTGTTGAAACAGCGCTTATGTGTAGAAACATTTTGGCTTGAAAAGTACTCTGTTATATTTTGTAACACCTAAGGGTAATTATTTAAAATGTAAGAAGAAGTGTTTTACTTTTGCAAGACGCTTTAATGTAAGATAAGAGTTCACATTACAGAGGGCTGTTCATTCGTTATTCTTAGAAGCCTTGTTATATTCCTTTTGCTTTTAGAACTTGTGTTTTTTGTGCTCTTGAGTGTTTTTTGTAATGAAGGAATGAGGTTATAGGTGTGATGTGAATTGTATAAATCTACCTTATATCCACACAAGTATAAGGCAGCTGAAGATCTTCTAAATGTAAAAGATTTCACATTGGGTACAACTGGAAAACAATTGTAGCCAAGTTAAGGGCTTGGTATTATTTGTGTGACAATAAGGTGTTAACTGTCATTAATATTGTGTTTCTCTCTGCCTCTTTTAGTAAGAAGAATAAGGATGGCCAGAACCGGGAACAGGACTACTCTTCTGAAAGCCATTACAGAATTGTTTCACCAACATTCCAGTATAAGATGAGCCACCAGCGAGTGGGAAAGTGCATCATCATCAACAACAAAAACTTTGATGAGAAGACGGGTACAGCGAACAAACACATTGTATTATAAGATCTACTTAAAAGATGGTGTATTCTAAACAGTTTTTTCTTTCAAGGGATGAATGTACGCAACGGCACAGATCGAGACGCGGGAGAGCTCTTCAAATGCTTCAAGAGCCTCGGCTTCGATGTCTTCATCTACAACGATCAGACATGTGAGAAGATGGAGCGTCTTCTCAAAGAAGGTGAGTAGAAAAGTCTTCAACCTTTCTTTTATGTGGGTAAGTAACTATGTTGAAGTAGTAAGAATTCAGTCGCAACAAATAACCATATCAAAACATTTAAAGAATATTCTTTTATCATTTCTAAGGGAGTACCTAAGTGGTGAATGGGCTTCCTGCCTTTTACACTCAGCTTCTAGTCAGGCTTTAAATGGTCATATACTCAATTGACAGTTTATCCGGTACTAA